GTGTGTGTGTGTGTGTGTGTGTGTGTGTGTGTGTGTGTGTGTGTGTGTGTGTGTGATGCTTTCTAGGACATGTCTGTTTGAGAATTTTCATTTCTGAAGGATTAAGAATTCAGAGGACGATGAAGCATCGCTTTCTAACAATGGCAGCATATTCTGACTGTTGACTAATTGTTTTGTGGCTTTTGTGGTGAGCGTGAGCACAACTCCACACTCAGCCTGGCCACAAACACATCGTTTTATTTGATTTTCCTTCCAATTTTAAAACAGAAATCACTAAAGCAGTACTGAGGACTTATTTGCGCAGATGCAGAGATTTTTGTGTATTATTGAGGGTATTTCAATGAACATCAAAATACTTCATTGGTTCTCTAAAAGTGTGCTTGTTGACCTTGAGGACAAGACACAAACCAGGAGACAAATCTAGAATTAGACGTAAACTTTTTATTGTAAAGAATAAAGCCATACTGTACCACCAGCTGGACCAAAATACAGACCTTTATTCAGTTTCAAGATATTTTGGTAACGAATCATGGATCACAGCACATCTTTAAACAAGCTCTTCCCTTAAATGGGCCTTACAACTTTGAACAGTTGTTTTTTTTTTTGTTTTTTTTTTTTTTTTGTAATGATTCTTAACACAATGTTGGTTGAGGTTTAATGATTTTAGGGGATTTTTCCACAGAACGTTGAACCAGCAGTTAATGAAGTCACACACTCCATTCTAAATTGTGTTTTCCTCCTTACCTTTTATTACACATGTACAAATTATATATCAACAAAGGGTCATTTTTATCTTTTTTTGTTGTTGTTTATTTTGGGGGTTTTTTTTGTTTGATTTTTACCCATTGTGTCTTTCACTCTTATGATGATAAACATAAAGCTTTGCTTGTACGACCATCAGAGTCTTCAAAAACTTTAATGATTTAACTTGTAGACAGTGAACAGCAACTCTTTGTTTCAGGTTTACTTTTTACCGTGTTTCAGTCGGCCTCTCTTAAGGAGTGAAAGATGTTGTTAACAACCCTAATGAGCCACAGCCAGCATCTTTGAGATTTGTTTTCTTCTCTTTTCTTTACACTTCAGCAGTATATACACACAACACATTGATCTGTTTTCCTTTTTTAGCTTACAAAGTTGATGTTGAACGCTGGCACTCTTCAATTTAGTTTTACAATTTCCTTGTTTCACATTGAAAACAGCCACTTCAGTCACAGATCAGTTAAAATCCCTGTATGTCTTATCAGTAATGTGGCAGAGCAACAAACAGCCTGACAGTAAACGAGGCAGCTCATCGTTCAGAAGTAAAATTATCAATTTATCTGTGAAGAAATAAAAAGCTAATTATTGATTATTTTCAGGTCTTTACAGTGTATCAGAATTATTAACATGTCATCTAAAAACATTTAAAGCAATAAAATACAATAATATATCCAATATTGCACAACACCATTAAATCATCTCTCTTTTCTTTGTATTTTGTTGAATTGCAAATTTCTACATTTTGCTAACAGAACCATGTCACTGTTGGACAATTGTGTTTTTCATCACCAAGGTAAAACCCAACAGGATCTTTGTAAAAAAAAAAAAACATTTCATATAAGGGTCTGTTCTTAGAAAACTGGAGATTTGAGGAGGGGGAGTGATTCCCAGGTGAACAGTAGGTGCCACAGGAGCCACTAATGCAAAGCAAATGCTGCTTTTCCAGCCATAAAGCTACAAGCCTGCTGCCTCCTCTTCATCATTCATCACAGACACACAGGAACAATGAACCATGTGACTTCAGGGCTGAAAAAGCTCAAAGCAATTAAGTGAAATATCACCTGACATGTTTAAAAATCTGTCCTGCTCTATTATTAAAACACGTTTTTTTAATGGCTCATTAGGAAGCTGACTCATTCAGCTAAACCTTCCTGGGACTGAGGACTTAAGTTTTTAAAGTGATGAATGAGAGTACAGGGGAAAAAATGTGCTGAAATGTCTGCAAGGTTGCGGCTTCTTGTTGTAAAGCCTCATGGTGTTGTGGCGCCATCTGCTGGATTAGAGCAGAACTGCAGAATGGCGTTAACTCTTCACAGGAGGCCTGTTATTGTGGATGATTCAATCTGATCAATGAGGAAAAAATAATAAATAAATCCTCTCTTTTTTGAAGAACATAGAGTTTCAGTAAACTGAGATTTCAGTAGCATTAACATATATTTTATTATTGCGTTTTATTATTGCATTATAAACGTCCATGACCTCTCACTAAGAAATAATGCAATATTTTCATGTTGTACAGTTTTCAAAACGTGCTTATTGAACCTTTATATGACTTATAATAATATACATGCTTAATAATTATACTGGAGGAAAATATTTTATTTGCATAGTGTATGCACACTATTTTACTGACTTTCAAAAATGTTTTGTGTATAAATGACGTTTTTATTTTGATAACATTAAATTATTATCATTACTACTCCTACTACTAATAGTAGCAATATTATCTACAATCCTAATACCAACAATTACAGAAAAAAATATGAATAATTGTTAACAATTTCCAGTTGTGGACATTTGTTTTATGTCTTTTTACATATAATGACAAATAAGGTATGAAGTATATAATAAAAAAAAGTTGCAAGGTACATGTAAAAGCGTGTTTTTTACATACCTTACGTGGTAATTTAACATTGTATTTATGTATGTGAAGTTTGTGATTATAATGAAAATAATAATGTTAACATAAACTTAATATTTGAGAACAACTTAGATAAAGAAATAAATTGCATATATTTACAAAAATAGCTTACGATGTCTCATGTGTCATGAATATGCTGTTATAAATATGTCATTGTTTTAGTGGGTTGGATTATGTGTAAATGTCTTTATATCTTTATATTTTCTCCCTCACACTTTTTTCTATTTAGTTAGTTAGTTAGTTAGTTAGTTAGTTGGTTGGTTGGTTGGTTGGTTGGTTGGTTGGTTGGTTGGTTGGTTGGTTGGT